AACCTAACGTAACCTAACCTAACGTAACTTAACCTATCCTAACTTAACCTAACGTAACCTATCCAAACCAACCCTAACCTACCCTAACGTAACCTATCCAAACCAACCCTAACCTACCCTAACGTAACCTATCCAAACCAACCCTAACCTACCCTAACGTAACCTATCCAAACCAACCCTAACCTACCCTAACGTAACCTATCCAAACCAACCCTAACCTACCCTAACGTAACCTATCCAAACCAACCCTAACCTACCCTAACGTAACCTATCCAAACCAACCCTAACCTACCCTAACGTAACCTATCCAAACCAACCCTAACCTACCCTAACGTAACCTATCCAAACCAACCCTAACCTACCCTAACGTAACCTATCCAAACCAACCCTAACCTACCCTAACGTAACCTATCCAAACCAACCCTAACCTACCCTAACGTAACCTATCCAAACCAACCCTAACCTACCCTAACCTAACCTAACCTAACCCTATGAAAGCGACATAATAAATCTCATTTAAAAGCCCCGACCTTTCTCGTCTACAGCTTATTTGGAGTTAGAGATCAGCAATGACACATACCCCATAGTCTATCAACAGTTAAGTTAAATATTAGCAAAGAGACAACAGTAATTATATGCCGTCACAGAAATAACGAGATTGTACCCTTTGAAGTACCCTGATGTTTGAAAAGTGTGTGCGGAGTAAAGTTGTTGTCCCTACGCTTAATTACAGTCTACAGACCAGGAGAAAAGCCCTGCTAGGAATGCAATATACGCGCATGCGCAAGATTTTGCCGTGAGTGACGAATTGCTACTAGCCAATCTAAAAGCGTTTATGTCCTTTGTTGGTGTCTGTACGTAATTTTAATACAGCGTCTGTATTTGTATTTTTAATTAACACTCATCTTATATCACACATTTAATTAAATTTGCTAAATTTTATCTCTAAATCTTTAAATATTATATCGTAGACGAATCAATTTACGTGTTCAATTTATTTGTTACATTAAGTGTTTTAAGGCCTTGTCTTGGTGGTGGGGCTTGAGGACCTCAGTGACCCCAAGAGCTACTGGTAGGGCCTCCCTAGGGGGAGAGGTCAGACTAAGACAGGTACCCTGGTCCTCCAGGTTGGGGGTTGGTCGCAAGGAAGACGTTTCGAAACCTCAATCAAAGCCTCGGACAGAGAAGAATTGAGGAGGTCATGGACCGGAGAGCCATAGAAGAAGTGTTGGAAGGCATAACTTTTATTTTATATAATTATATTATTAAATTATAGTAGGTAGTTCATTGAGTTTTATCAGATGACTTTATTAATAACCCCCCCCCCCCCCCGACCAAACACCATTATAATTTAAATGTGCTGATACAGGATTTATTTTATTTTCTAATTAACAAATTCTGATGTTTTATTGTTATTTTTGTCTTTGAAGAGTTCAAAGGATCTTCAGTTAAGAACCGCACAACAGGAATCGAGCAAAATGAATCCTAATTTTTCTAGAAATGGCCGTAAGATCTTGCAATCAGACAAGGTAAAGGATTTGGCTGTCCGCAAGACGAACGAACTGATGAAGGCAGAGGAAAGGATTATGGAATTGGAGGAGGACAGGGATCACCTTGAATTTAGGTATGTTTTGCCCTTCCATCTCCTTCTTGGTCTACCAAGTGGCCATAAATTTCACTGTGAGAGGCGATAAAAGTCACAATTCTGGGCAATCCCAGACTGCTCACTTGTTTCGTCAGTCTTAGGTCCTAAGACGCTTACAATTTATATTCTTACTATGAGGTACGATGCAGTATTATAAAATTGGCTGGTTAAGCCTACAGCCGCCCGTACAGTGCACCGACATCCTCCGATAGGGTAATTTAAATGCCTCACGAATTTATACGTTCATCTTTCCATCGTAGAAAGAGTTTTATGTCTATAATAAAGACTTTCTTTCTAGGGTGTTTCAACATATTGTAAGTACGTACAGGATGGAAAATGAAGCTGAGATTGTTATTATGCAACTTCAGAGTCGATTAGATGACGCAATACAGAAACTACAAGTTAAACAGAACTTAAGGTAAGAGAATGTTTGGCTGTACAGGACCAAACGAGTTTAGTTAATTAATTATCATTTCTTTTTCTGACGTAAATACGTCTACACGGAAGGATCATTCGGCAAATCAGCGTTAGTTACGAAGATGTGTAAGGTCCAGCGCCGAGTCACCTTTAAACTTTCATTCCTCATTAATTGTAAGAGTAAGGGTAATGTAAAATGATCAGTAAATAAAGACCTTTAAGAATCTGTAATGTATTTTGTTGTAATTATAATTGTTTATACATTTATTGTAATTTTAATGAACCAATGTGTACAATTTTTCAATGCATCTGGCGCGTTAAGAGATGGATCTGGACATATTGCGTTCGAAATACGTATTACATCTTGAGCTTTCGATATCTGTCTTCAGATTTTAAATATCACAAATTGTTTAAGTTGTACAAACAATTTATTTATACAAACAAAGGCGCATCGCACTTCAAGCTACTGATACATTTGCGTATTTAGGTCAATTTTTTCCATAGTATTTTATTATTTAGTGTTCTGTCTGACGACAGGTCCATATGAACAGGATCCTTCCATCCTTTTCTCGGACTGGGACCTGTTCATATACGTTCTTGGCAGATGATCCAGAAGTGTTTTGCCATTGCCTTCTTCTGTGTGTGAATGGAGTAATTGTTGGGATGCCACGGAGGAAAACTCCGTGTTGCCTAGACCACGGCCTTGCCCAACACAAGTTATAAATTCGGGCACCACCGAGAATCGAACCCGAGACCACGATTATCAAAAGGCTAGAAAAATCTGCGCGTTATGCAACCCCCAGAATTTCAATAAACAGCAAAATACTGACAAACATTCCTTCTACCCAAGAATACGATAACTTAAACAACACACAATTCACACAAGCTCCTCAGAAAAGCACTGAAATGAAATTTACATTTCAAAAATGAACAAAATTGGCATCAGAAAAATGCAACTCTTCCTGTCTCAATCAAATTTTGCTGTTTGAACAAAATAATCCCAAGGTTAGAGAAACGATAAATGCCTATTCATAGCGAAACACAGACTTTACTCTCTGTAACCGCAACTACAATACAGTCTTATAATAACCAAAACATGTCATACAAATTTTTGTACAACGTATGACATATGTAATGGTGCCCGGGGGACATGATCACAGCCGCGGTATATCGAGATCCCACCTCATAAAACCATCCTTTTGGAAAAATAACACAGCAGAACGCAATTACTTTCATAACCACGAGAAGCAGATAGATTCAATAAAGGAGTTTAGAAACTCAAATGTAAAGACTGCTTATTATAACACACGTCACACCGGCCACATATCCCTATATATCAGGTATCGAAAACAATCCAGTTACCTCCAGATAAGCATGAAATATCTTAAACACCAGACGCACAGATTTTTCTAGCCTTTTGATAATCGTGGTCTCGGGTTCGATTCTCGGTGGTGCCCGAATTTATAACTTGTGTTGGGCAAGGCCGTGGTCTAGGCAACACGGAGTTTTCCTCCGTGGCATCCCAACAATTACTCCATTCACACACAGAAGAAGGCAATGGCAAACCACTTATGGATCATCTGCCAAGAACGTATATGAACAGGTCCCAGTCCGAGAAAAAGGATGGAAGGATCCTGTTCAGATGGACCTGTCGTCAGACAGAACACTAAAATAAAAAAATAATATTATCTGCAGTAATTGCTGGTCTTGTAATCCTGGGGTCTCGGGTTCGATTCCCGGCGGTGCCCGAATTTATAACTTTTGTTGGGCAAGGCCGTGGTCTAGGCAACACGGAGTTTTCCTCCGTGGCATCCCAACAATTACTCCATTCACACACAGAAGAAGGCAATGGCAAACCACTTCTGGATCATCTGCCAAGAACGTATATAAACAGGTCCCAGCCCGAGAAAAGGATGGAAGGATCCTGTTCATATGGACCTGTCGTCAGACAGAACACTAAATAAAAATAAATATAAATCGTGTTCTATAATTTGCCACACAGTACTCAATACGTCAAATACTGCATTGTGTATATAAAATTATTGTTTATCTGTTGTTTTTTCTTGTAAATTAATTTAATTTGGCGTATGATTTGTGATTTTTGTATGGTGAACTTTGATTCTGATTTTAGCATTCTTTGGAATTGTTATGAAATTGATATGTATAGATGGATAATAATAATAATATTTTACCAAAATTTCTGTCTATCTGACTAGATTAGTTACTAACTATCTACAGTTCTTGATATGGAGAGACAGTTTTAATTCTAAAGCAGTACACATGGAAGGGGTTACATATGCCTACGTCTTTAAGGTCATCTGTACCACACAGAATTAATATGTTTCTTGTTTTTTTTATATTTGTGCAGCCAATTACAGAATGGTCTGAAAGATAAGAAAGGGAGGAAACTCAGAGATACTGTCCTGACTGAGAACACTGACGCCCTTAAGCAACAGGTACGCCACAATATTTATCAAACTGTCATCTTCTTTCTATAATTCCCTCTCGCCTTTTTATAGAAAGTATTGGACCATCGTGACTAAGTCTGAAACTAGACGCTTTGCCCCACACATCGAAACTTCTCATATCCCTTTTAGTCTGAATGTACGAAGTCTGTTTGCTCTCATCTGAAGAATGAGATTTCTGTATTTCTCTTGAGATTGTTCGTCATTTTATTAAGCTTTGTTTTGTCTATCTCTCAGAGTTACTTCTAGGTTTCACCGCCAATACTGAGCACACAGTAACCACTTACATTTTGATGAAACTAAGACTAGGTGACCTGTATAAATTGCAAATTCCCTTGCTATTTTAACCTTTAAACGAAGGGGTTACGGAGTTTCTTTGCAGGTTTTTAAACTTTTGTGCGTGCTCCACGGAAAACTTTAATATTATCTAATGTAAACAAGGTCCGGAGATAGGGATTAGCTCTATCTAGTGGGCCCAACTGTGTAGGAACCTGAAGACGGAGATAGAGTCCCATCTCCGAAACGTCGTTTTACGTTTTATATTTACTAGACGATGGATAATATCCAAGAAAATTTTTATTCAAGAGAATACACAGTTTTTTTTAAAAAAATGCAGTTAATATCAGTGTCCAAAATAACTTCTGGTATTTCTTCAGGCGTAACTTTATTTGTTTTTTGAAAGCTCATTTGACATGATAGAAGCCATGGTTGTGAACTAATGACCACACAGAAAAATTTGTTTTTTCTACTTCAGTGGATACACATTATTTTCACCCATCATGAGGAAGAATGTGAGAAATTTTGAATAGGGGGGTCTGAAAATGAAGCTCAAACCAACTTGAAAATAACAAAGTTAATTGCTGTTTATAGTTTCCAGGTTGACAGCTCAGGTTGAAATTGTCAGAACCCTAGAGAAAGTGATTCAATATCTGCAGCCCCTAAAAGAGGCCAAATACATAACCAAGTCTTCTTACAATGTTGCGAGTTTTGAGATCCGCACTGGGAATGTTCGTAGGGCTGAGTACACAACTTATGTTCCCGACAATTTCAGGGATCGGTACTTGCCAAGAAGAAATCATGTGGACAGTTTAGGTTCTCGTTAAAGAGAAAACAAGGCCAAGGTGCGAAGATCTCGACACTACAAACAGCACCGGACGATCGTAGCAAAGAATTATTGAAGGTATTCAAAACAAAATTACCTCACGTTAGGCATTTAATATTACTGTAGCGTGATTTTATGAGACCGGTTAATTTTAAACATTCCAAATATAAAATTTTAAATATATTAAATGTATATTTGTTTAAATCTTGTCAGTCACAATCACAATAAAATTCCTATTAAATATTAAAATATTACTAAAAATTAACATTTAAATATTTAAAATGATGTTCTCTATCGAAATGTTCGATATACATTAGATCATAATTTTAAATATTTAAATGTTAATTTTTAGTAATATTTTAATATTTAATAGGAATTTTATTGTGATTTGACTTGACAAGATTTAAACAAATATATATTTATCACAATATGACGCAACTTTATCATCTCATATTAAATGTAGTTGGTAATATTTAATTTTGTTATGTAGCAATGAATGGTGTGATTCAAAAATTCATCGCGTACAAAATATTTATGAAGCTGTTATTTATTTTCAAGGTAAAAATGAAGACTGTACCAAGAATAGGTAAGTTTGCACAGTTGTTTCGACACTAGAAGGCATCTACAGTGAGATTGAAGAATTTAAAAATTCTCAACAAACAAACTTTTCAAAGTTCAAATTGCCAAATTCAGGGACAAGGATAAGGTTACTGAAAGGGCAAATCGTAATCGTTCTTGGAACTTGGACTGTAAAAGTCACGTTGTATTAATTGAAACATCAGGGAAATGAAGACGCCACTGTCATCTGGCTTCTGTGGTAGAAATTCCAAGCTAAAAATTAAATTTGAGCAAATTTATTCCAATCGTAATAACATTTTACAAAAATACACAACTAGGAACATTTCAACGCCCAAAAGAGGAAATGAAACAAGATGTATCATGAAAGTAACAAATCTAACGAAGATCTACGTAGAAATGACATTTCGGAAGAGGTTATCGCCTATTATCATCAGAGGCAACGAGAGAGCTGCGTCCCACTGAGATGAGGGAACAGTTCTGACACTAAACGTCATCGATCCCGCAGATGAACGATATTGAAGATCGCCGTCTTCTGGATTTCTGTGCCGTGCCTCCAGAAGACAACATCTTCATACTTGCCACCATTAAGAAGTCTTTATATGTTGCGCAGAATTCTCTGAGTGTCCTCTGAGCAGACTTGCCAGATTTTGGTGCCACGATGGGCTTAAAGAGGGTACCTTCCTTATGGATCTTTGGAAACCTGCAGTGTCTTGAAGGCCTCGAGCCCTGTGGTTGTAGTCGTTGTGGTTGGAGTTGCCGAGGTGTCGAGAGCCATCGTCTCATTGCCTTTGTCAGCTGGGTCTCTGATAAGGGCAATGTGATGGTGGTTCTTGTCACCACTGACTAACCAGAAGAATGTTGCCCTTCCTGGGCCACCTACTGACTGAGACCATTGTTCTTATCAAAAGGTCATCACTTTCTGCGGAAATTGTCGTCCAAAAATTATGAGCGCATGATTTAGAGCTTCGTACGCTGTTTACTCTCCTGAATATCTGCAAGGAAGTAATCCGACTTAGGTCTGTCGTAAACGCCATCAACCAGTAGGTCCAATATCTGGCCATTCGTCTTGGAGGACTCCCCGGAGGATTCACTCACACTATCAGATTGATTTCTGTTGGTTTCCGAGGACATCGTTGGCAGTTTACGTGTGACCTCGCTTTTGATTAAGATGCCCTGAGACTGAACCAAACTTTTGATTATGACCCCGATGATGGGAATTGTGAGTGAACTCATACCACACTACACGGTGCAACATCATGCTCGCCACAGCGAGTATTTGAAGTCTCTCAAATTTTCAGTTGACGTTCAAAAAAATTTTTAATGTCAATAATCATTACTGTAAAAACGAATTGAGCAGTATCGGCTGGAATAATCTGTGAAACATTTAATATTGAATAAAATAGGCGTTTTAAAAATAAAAGACTGACTTATTCTACAGATCCCAGACATCGTGGCTGGTTGGAAATTATAATATTTATAATATTTAAATTTGTCCATATTTTATGATATTTAATTTTGTAAGTTTTTTTCTGGTTTCTTATTGTTTATTTTGTTTTCACTAATATTTTATTTCATATGTCATCTATGTATTTGACTGCTGTTTTCGTGCCTCGCTGTAATTGGCCTTGAACTGAATTCCTACCTTCATTGGTAACTGCACGCTTCTCCAGCATCAAAAGATTAATTTTCTTACCCGCAAATTAATCGTTCTAACCTAAAAAATTCTCTAACTCAGTACCTGGACCGGCGTCTCCCAAATTCCCAATATCCTTATAGGTTTGTGGACGTACGAGTAGATAACCAACTTGGACAAAATGATTCCAGAAAAGGTTTGACGTGCAAGTGGTCATTTGAAACAAGTTAGAGGTCATTAATCATGAAACTGCAGAAATATTACGCCCTTCAGGTAAATGCTACGCATGGATTTTGCGATTTACTCTGGAAAGTAACATGTAAACTGCATTATGGAAATCTCCTCCTTTATTTTTTCTACAGAAGAAACCACATGATTGCTAGATATATTTATGGATGAATTATTTTTGTAACTGAACAACGTCAATGATATAGCATCTTCCATATTTGACGTTACATAACCTCAAAAAGTAAGTCTGATTTGTGATTCGCAAGAAACATTACAAGAGATATGGAGTAGGAAATGGATATATGAAAGGAACAAAGGTATGAAGATGTACTTCGTTAAATGTCTTTAACCCAATGGAATAATGAAATTATCATTTCTTTTAGAAAGGAATTTTAAAAAAAAATAATACACATCAACTTGCTGCCAGAATACGTGATGTGTTTTTTTAGGTTAGGTTAAATCATTTTGTTAATCCGTACTTGTTTCTGAACATAGATCAACAATTGTCATATTGTAAGTTTTATGTAATACTGATTTATATTTTCATCTTTTTATCCCCTATTCTGACTTCTTTTTAGTCTATTTTGTGCTCCCTCTCAATCTTTGTTGTTGGGGCTTAATACCGTGTCATATACGACCTCAGCAGCTTCAGTAATTGGGAAATGATTGCTATAGGTCGCGCGAGAAGTGCTGGCGCATGCGCAAAGGTCGTATGAGATGGACTCGTCCGAAGCACGCGCTAGAGGGGTGTCAGCTTCAGTTGGTTTGTAGCTCTCGCTGTGTTTAGTTCGGCGCGTCACCGCAGCTGAGGCTGTGCGGCAGGCTTTTCAGAGACCGTGTCAGGCACACATCGAGTTTGACAGACACAGTACATCTTAAACTCTCCGACAGAGACCGTTTCTGCAAGGCATCAGATGGGGAGAACTTTGGAATAAACTTTGAAAATTTTTCAAAATTTTAAAAAAAAATGCTGGAAATTATCCAAAAAGCGCAAAAACAAAATTTCTTGAAAAATTCCATATTCAAATTTTTTTTCAGATTTTTTAAAAAAAAATTGGTTTTGTGCGTTTTTCAGATGATCTCCAGCATTTTTTGAATTTTCGAAAATTTTAAAAAATTTACAACTTTTTTTTTAAAACTCTCCCCAAGAGATGCATGCCAGCAACGGTTAATGCCTCACTCTGTCTTTTCCGGACACGGCCTCTATCTCACACGGTTCCTGACTGCCTCAACGTCATTAGACGTGACGCTCATGGACCCGGACAGAATTCTATGTGGCGTGGCTACCCAGAAGACCAAATCGACATGTGAAGGATATGAAGGCAATTCTCTGCGTAGTTTCAAATATACATGAGAGTACACGTTTTTGTGAAAATGTTTCTCAATGTCTTTATCATGTGTGTTGTTACTAGTATTAGTACTGAAAAGTTGGAGAAAAGATTTTATAAAAACTTCCAATAAATACAAGTTTATTTCTTAAATTGTCTTAAAGTCCGTCGCCCTGGAGTTTAAACACTTCATGTATACCAACTTAATAAAAGACATCACTGCACTGTTTCCAAATCTGTCTTCAATCATGTTGCCTCTCTGATGTCAGAGAATTATTTTATATATCGGCGAACTCTCTGGAGCAACTGCCCCCATCTGCTTCGCCTTTATTTCCGTGAATACGAGGGATAATTTTAGGGGAAATTTCTTATTCCTTCGCGTAAAGTCAAGTTACGCCTCAGATAGGTGAACGCTTTTGTAATTAATTTTTAATTTAATATAATTATTCTGTACTAAACACATCGATATCACACTCCTCAATCATTCATGAAATATTTAGTATTGATTCTCTCTTGTGAGGACAAAAATATCTATTTCGATGTTCGTCTCTTCTGTTATGATTTGAAAGGGTTCGATTTTGAAACGGTTTGTAATTATAGGAGGTCTAGATTTCTAGTAAGCACGTTAAATATTAAAATGTGTAACATACAAAGCGAAAATTTAAAAGTAAAACCAGAAATTTTACTTTTCAGAACAAGCTGTGTAACATACAAAGCGAAAATTTAAACGTAAAACCAGAAATTTTACTTTTACAGAACAAGGAAGAATTAAAAACGCAAATTGCAGAATTTTAAACAAATTCGTAAACAAAATGAAATCATTAATAATTAGGGGACTAATAATGTTTCATTAGTGCGTCACAGACTACGTGTTCCTGGTCTAGACCAGTGATATTTAACCTTTTTTTGTTCGCGTACCCCCAGATATAATTTCTCTTCAACTTTGTACCCCCAATTCAAGTTATACGTAATATATAATCTACATCTAAAATGAATTAAATAAATTACATTACTGATTATTCAGTGTTTAT